AAGCCCGTGATTATTGACAAGCAGAAGCAGCGAGAGGAGAGGAGGTGAGGTGTCCCGGCGCCTGTGGCGGTGTGTTCAGGTCTGCTGCCAGGCCCGTGGTTGTGTGAGCGCCTGCTTAAAGCTCCAAGGCAACCTTGCACAAAAAGTGTTTGCAAATTTCTACCAAAGATAATTTTTGTTGAAATTGTGCTTATAAAAAACCCTTAAAGTACTGTGTTACAGAGTTCACTGAATTTCACTGAATTTTTAGAGTTGGAAGGGACCATAAAGATCATTTAGTCCAACTCCCCTGCCAAAGCAGGACCACCCAGAGCTTGTCAGATCATGCCACTCAGGACTGCATCCAGGCGGGGCTTGAAAATCTCCAAAGAAGGGGACTCCACACCCTCCCTGGCAGCCTGTTCCAGGGCTCTGTCACCCTCACCGTGAAAAAGTTCTTTCTCATATTCAAGTGGAACCCTTTATGTTCCTGAAAGCAGTGAAACAGCGAAAAAAATGCATAGCGATACAGATTTTTGTAAATTTGGGTTTGGTATGTGAAGTTTTCATCGGTTAAAGGCGTGCATCTTTTCAGTATGCTGCAAGACATCTCTTTAGCCTGGAGAAAAGGAGCCTGAGGGGACACCTTTTCGCTCTCTACAACTCCCTGGAAGGAGGGTGTAGAGGCCCTGGGGGCCGGTCTCTTCTCCCAAGTCACAGGCAATAGGACAAGAGGCCTCAAGTTGTGCCAGGGGAGTTTCAGGTTGGATATTAGGAAAAAATTTTACACTGAAGGGATTATTAAGCACTGGAATGGGCTGCCCAGGGAAGTGGTGGAGTGACCATCCCTGGAGATATTCAAAAGACAGGTTGACATAGAGCTTAGAGACGTGGTTTAGAGATGTTTTTCCTCAGAGTTAGGTTGATGGTTGGACTAGATGATCTCAAAGTCCCTTCCAACCTAGACAGTTCTATTCTAACATGACAGGGACATGGGTCCCATATCTGCCTTTGACTTAGACCTTGAGATCAGCTGTAAGTGTGCACGTTACTGTTTGTGAAATGGAGCTGCAAAATGCTTTTGTTTTACACTTACGAAAGTGTGGATTTTCTTGCAGGTTCTTGAGCCCTGAATTTATACCTCCCAGAGGGAGAACAGATCCTCTTAAATTTTATATAGAAAGAAAGGATATGATACAGAGACGGAGAGTCTTCAACATCCCAGAGTTCTATGTTGGTCAGTAACAGTGCTAGAACTTTCATCATTTTATCAATATTTTTTGTAGGGTGGGATGCTAAGAGGTGTGTTTTCCTGTTGTAGAGTATCACACAACATCACAGTATCAGGTGTGTTAGATCAACTAGTATGTGTTTCTGTACATGCTATTTAGTATTTTAATTTCGTATTTACATCCAGTTTCCATTAAAAATATAATAGTAATGTGTTTCTTATGGATTTTTAAAATTGTGACACTGTAGCACGTGGTTTACCAGTAAAGATTAAGAAAGAAAAATACATCAGATTGTGGTTGGTTTGCTTAATGAAAAGTAAAAGACAAAGGTGAAGGTGTAAAGGTGAAGAAGCTTTATAGTTATCCTGCAGAATCACTTTAACGTACATTAGTTCAGAACATGTTAGAAGTTTGTTCTGTTTCTGCCAGTTTTCATGGAAAATAAAACATTTTAAAAATGTACCTAAATGCATGCACTTTGTCTGACTCTCTTCCCATGTTTTGGTACGTGTTTATTTGAAGAGTATTTATTTTAATGAATGTTTTTGGCAGGCAGTGTGCTCGCCGTTACTACTGCAGATCCGTACGCCAGTGAGAAAGCCAGCCGCTTCGTGGGCATCTGCATCCAAAGAGGAGGCAAAGGACTCGGCGCTACCTTTGTCCTTAGGAATGTTATAGAAGACCAAGGTGGGTTTTTAACTGTGGTGACAGGGACCTTTAAGATCATCTAATCCAACCATCAACCTAACTGTGAGGAAAACAAAAAAACCACATCTCTAAACCATGTCACTAAGCGCTATGTCAACCCCTCTTTTGAACACCTCCAGGGATGGTGACTCCACCACTTCCCTGGACAGCCCATTCCAATGCTTAATGATCCTTTCAGTGTAAAAAAATTTCCTAATATCCAACCTGAAACTCCCCTGGCACAACTTGAGGCCATTTCTTCTTGTCCTATCACCTGTTACTTGCGAGAAGAGACCGACCCCCCCTGGCTACACCCTCCTTCCAGGGAGTTGCAGAGAGGGATAAGGTCTCCCCTCAGCCTCCTTTTCTCCAGAATGAACAACTCCAGTTCCCTCAGCTGCTACTCATGAAACTTAATTCTCCAGACCCCTTACCAGTTCTGTTGCCCTTCTCTGGACACACTCCAGCCCCTCAATGTCTTTTTTTTTTTTTGGTAAGGGGCCCAAAACTGGGCACAGCCCTCAAGGTGGGGCCTCACCAGTACAGGGGACCATCACTTCCCTAGTCCTACTCACCACACTGTTCCTGATAGAGGCCAGGATGCTCTTGGCCACCTGGGCACGCTGCTGGCTCATGTTCAGCCGACAGTCGAGCAACACCCCCAGGTCCTTTTTGGCCAAGCATCTCTCCAGCCACTCTTCCCCGAGCCTGGGGTTGGTGTGACCCAGTTATGCTAAACAGGAATGGTAAGCAAAAAATACTGAAGTTGTGTGTGAAAGGGCTAACTGGTGTAGAAATTTAGTGTGTGGAGAGGGTGACAATAAATTAAAGTGAAATCCTCAGTCTACCCACTAGGGGATACTGCAAGTTCAAAACTCTATCCACAGGGATGCTGGCGTGCCATGGAACAGCTTAGTAATTTTTTTTATCTTTCTACTTAGTGATTTTTAGATCTGTGTTCTGAGGAGACTGAGTGGGATCCACTGTGAGGCTGTTGTGCTTGTATTTGAGCCTGGGCAGTCTCCTGCTGGCCATGTTAGCCCAGTTTGAGCACTGTATTTGCATGAACTGGGGACGTGTGTGAACTGTTTAACAAGCAACAGATTAGCAGAGTTTTATAATAGGTTCATATTCTGTTTTATGAAAAAATGGGGGAGATGCAAATACTGATGTTTTGAGAACAAATATGAAGGGGTTGGGTGTCTCTTTATGTTACAATATACATATATGCAATAGATAGTAATAGCCCTTGTAACCAGAAGGGAGTAAAGTTTAAAACCCAAGCTCGTCTTCCTTAAATTCAAGGCATTCGATGTCTTTTAAGCCAATCTGTTATCAGAGATCTGACTTACAAAAGAAACCTGCATTTGCCCGTACAGACACAACACGTGTACAGTCACAGTGCACACAGTGTATTGTAGTTCTCTGTATAAATAAAAAGCAGCTCTTGAATCATACAGGAATGTGTAACAACACCAAAGTAACACTAATTTGGTGTTAGTGTTTCTAGTGAATTCAGTTCATTAAACCCGACTTTTCTCTCTCTAAGGTGTTGAAATATGCTATGAACTCTACAACCCTCGAATCCAGGCGATCGAGGTTCTGAAGCTGGAGAAGAGGCTGGATGACAACCTGATGTACCTGCGAGATGCCCTCCCCGAATACAGTACCTTTGATGTGAACATGAAACCTGTGTCTCGCTTAGAGCATGAAGAAGTTCCTGTAAACAAGGTAAGAGCCCTGTGTTTCAGAGGGAAAGGGGAGGATCATTTGGGTCACTTTCTGACTGGTGTCCTGGAAGGCTGTTTACATTAGTTACCATGTGACAAAAGTATACAAAATAAGTCTTTATGCCATTTCTATAGTGAAAGAACATTGTTTTCTCTTATTTTCCTTCTGTTAGAGCAACAGTTGTCTCACCTTTTGCTAAGCTCACAGTCAGAATCCTGCTTACTTCATACCTTCCGATTATTTACTTTTTTTCTTTTTTAATCTTTCACCCCAGCTGAAGGTACGAATGAAACCTAAACCCTGGTCAAAACGGTGGGAAAGGCCAAAATACAATATAAAAGGAATAAAGTTTGAGTTGCCTGAAAAGAAAATGAAAGAAGCACAGAAGTGGAGCCAGCCCTGGCTGGAGTTTGATATGATGCGAGAGTATGATACGTCAAAACTAGAAGATAAAATTTGGAAGGAAGTGAGTGAAGGCCTTAAAAATTAATAATGGGGTTTGCTGTCTATGAATTACTGAGGAAAATTAATATTAAACTTTGAATTTACTGTATGGATTATCAGTAGTCATGTTTTGTATGTACATAGGCAAAATACACAATAAAGTTCACCTTTCCAGAAAATGTCAAAGCGTACAAGCTTTTGTGGCTGAACACTAACTTTCTGTTCCTGAAAAGAAACAGTGTGTGTTCTGTTCACCCCCCTCTCCAGAAATGAAAAGCCTCCTTTTTTTAAAATTACAATTAAGAGGAGGAGTTTGTATCACCCATGTAAGTTATGTCTTCTGTTACTTCTTTCTGTAAAGAGCAGGTAGTGGGCAGCTGTAGAAGGGAAGCAAACACAAGACATTGGTTAAGTGTTTGATAGAGCAGCAGACACAAATGCTCTGAAATCACTTTTGAAGAACTGAGCCAGTTTTTTTTTTTTAAACCAAATCACATGAATTAGTGTAAGATCCACAATGAAATGCTCACACAGTGGGACAGTTAGTTTCATAAAACTGCATTTCACAGCACACAGGGGGTCTGAGCACGAGCATTAACTGCCTTCCCATGCTTACGAGTTACCTGTCTTCCAAAAAGACACATCTGCAGAGCTAATTTGTGACAGAACATCTATTTTTTTTATAGTAGCACGAGGCTGGTTGGAGAACAAGAGAAAAGCAATGAGATCATGAGCTTGTGGTAATTACTGATCAGCTGCTGCATTTTTGTTGGCATTCCGAGAGGAAAAGCAATGGAAATTACTAGAAAGCAGGATTTGCAACAAAACACCTAAAAGTAATGAGGGCTAATGGTGTCTGAATCTTTTTATCCTATTTTTAATAACATTCTTGTCACATGTATATGGAATTGAACTGCAGGAGTCCCATTAACACAGTAAAATACTCATACTTTATTTTGAAAATAAACCATTTTTTAAAAGTCCTCTTTTTGTCTTTAACACTGATCAAAACTATTTACAATTAAAATATTTTACAAAAATAACATTTTTAACTTAAAAAAATACAAAAGAAATCATAAGGGATTGAGTCCGCAAGAGTTAAATTCAAGTCTGAGAAGATTTTGGAGAAATTGAGTTATAAGTTGACACAGAGTCTGGTGTGCACTACCGTTTCTACAGTAAAACATCCTTGTTATTCTACACCACCATTTATTGCAAATATACAAAGTTATAAAACACTAGAAATGCAGTAAGGGGATGATGAAGCAGGGTTCAGGAGATCTTACTGGGAAGCAAAAGGAAGACTTTCCTCGAGTTTCAGCGAGTAGAAAGTACCTGAAGTTGTTCTTGAGCTGCTCACCATCGAGATGCCTGTTATTAGAAGTCTGACAAAGCAAGATGTGTGACAACTCCAGTTCAGTCTGTGTCACCCTCGTACAAAACTACACCCATCAGACACCACCTTCAGTACATTTGCTCTTCCCCAGATGTTCTCCTGTGCAACTTCAGACCTCACTGACCCCACATTCACAATAAACATTCAAACTCCTTCCCTTCTTTCTGTATCAGAGTCAAATCCCTGCAATGTTAGATGACTACCAAAAAAAATCACTTGGACCACAAGTTAGGAGAGCTCCCTGACTGCCAAGTCAGAGTGATATTTAGCAACATAACACTGAAAATGGCTTGTAAAGCTGTCTCCTGGCTAGCAGGGATAAACTTTACAGGCACTTCCTATCTTGCCAGAAATCCCTCCAAAAAGGGTAAAACAATAAAGCATTGTCATACGTTTTATAATGCCCCAACCATTGCTTTACTTTGATAACTGTAGCTTCTAAAACGATTCCTTAACCTAGGAGTAGATGGCAGTAGAAGACATTTGGGGGAAAAAAACCCTCAAGTATTTAAAAAGGCAGTGATTACCACTACACCTTTGAGTAGGCAGGGTCCACTAATTAAACTGGTTTTGTGTGAATATCAGGCTTTTTTCAGTAATATCAATGTTGCTTCAAAAATTTCTATTTCCCAATCATTGATTTAAGGTGTTCAAGTTTGTGCTCTTCGATGAAGTCTTCAACTATGCCCAGAGCTTTGATTTTCACCAGCAGGAGAAGAACTTCTTTTGTTTCATTACTATAAAAGAAAATAAACAATTTGATACAGCAAGACATTTATGTACCTGGCTTTACGTTTATTCATTTTGAAGAGTTAAGCATCTCTCCTTGGCTGCTTGTCATCAGGTGACCTTGGCCACCCTGATCACTATCAGCACCCAACAGCTAGTGCCTTGAACTACCACATTAAATTAGAACAGCAGAAGTCCTCTTTATATTATGGACTCCATCTTTTGTTTTATGTATGTATGCAACAAGAACATCCTTCAAAGTGTCAAATCCTGGGGTGCATCAAGAAGAATGTAACCAGCAGGTCAAGAGAGGCTGTCCTGCCCCTCTGCTCTGCCCTGGTGAGGCCCCATCTGGAGCACTGTGTCCAGTTCTGGGCTCCCCAGTTCCAGAAGGACAGGGAACTGCTGGAGAGGGTACAGCAGAGGGCTACAAAAACGATCAGGAGCCTGGAGCATCTCTCTTATGAGGAAAGGCTGAAGGACTTGGGTCTTTTTAGTCTAGAGAAGACTGAGGGGAGGATCTGATCAATGCCTGTAAATACTTAAAGGGTGGGTGTCAAGAAGATTGGGCCAGTCTTTTTTCAATGGTGCCCAGTGACAGGACAAGAGGAAATGGGGACAAAATTGAATCTAAGAAGTTCCATCTCAACATGAGGAGACACTTCTTTACTTTGAGGGTGGCAGAGCCCGTGCAGAGGCTGCTCAGGGAGGAGGAGGAGTCTCCTTCTCTGGAGACATTCAAAACCCGCCTGGACACGTTCCTGTGCAACCTGCTCTGGGTGGCCCTGCTTTGGCAGGGGGGTTGGACTAGATCATCTCCAGAGGTCCCATCCAACCCCATATCATTCTGTCATTCTGTGAAACACATGAGATTTATGGAATTTAAGAAATATTTAACACAAAGTATTTGAGGAAGTGCTTGAATTCCACGCCTTATCTATTACCTGTGGTCATTCTTGTGTAGCGTACGGGCACATCGCAGCAAGTGCTGGCAGAAGTTCAGTAACTCAGGGAGAGTTGATCCACTTTTAAGATCCTGGAACCATCTTTCTGGGAGGGACGCAACCACCTGGGCACACACAGAATATTTAGAAAAGCTTAAAGTCTGTCAGTACAAGCAAGTCACATCACTTCCGACAGGGATTTCTTGGTAGGTTCAGTGCGTTTTTTCTTTGAAACCCAGACTGATTATCCCTACAAGTAGTTATTCTTAAACTATGGATCAGTATTTGCTTCAAAATGCGCAAGTAGTTATTCTTAAGAAACTATGGATCAGTATTTGCTTCAAAATGCTTTTTATGCATGAAGGACACACAAAAAATATTTTAAAACATATTTTTAATTTTGTTTGATTTTTTTTTTTTAATATTCCATCTTCAGTTTTAACCGCTCTTCATGAAAAACCAAAGCTTTTAGCATACACCCTCTTCCTATTACCTTATTACACTTTTCTATGTTATCTGGAAAAAGATTTAAAATTTATATTTTGTTTGATTTTTTTTAAATATTCCGTCTTCAGTTTTAACCGCTCTTCATGAAAACCAAAGCTTTTAACATACACCCTCTTCCTTTTACCTTATTACACTTTTCTATGTTATCTGGCCCTGGTGGTATGTTCAAGAGGTTCAGAAGGAGGTAACGATTCAGCAGCTTGCTCAGTCCCAAATCACGGACTGTATCTTCTTGTACAATCCCATCCCAAAGAAGAACATTGGAGAGCAGCTGCAGGAATAAAAAAAACAGAATATGTACACTGGTGGCTGGAGGTGTGTGATTCACACTTTCCAAACTTACTGTCAGTTAGCTTCTAATAAGCTACATATAGTAAATAATTTTAGGCCCTGGTGGTGTGTTCAAGAGGTTCAGAAGAAGGTAACGATTCAGCAGCTTGCTCAGTCCCAAATCACGGACTGTATCTTCTTGTACAATCCCATCCCAAAGAAGAACATTGGAGAGCAGCTGCAGGAATAAAAAAAACAGAATATGTACACTGGTGGCTGGAGGTGTGCTAAAACACACTATTACAAGTTTTATGTAAGATAAAAAGATAATATTATGTCCATCCAATTTAAGTACTCAACACCCAGGATTCACACTTTCCAAACTTACTGTCAGTTAGCTTCTAATAAGCTACATATAGTAAATAATTTTATCAAGTAGGATAACTAATTTTATATGTGCTTATGAACTGTACTCTAATACATGTAGATATGACCTCCCAGGGGTAGGAAGAGTATTTACCCTTCTAATAGGTTAACAATTTGCTAAGGCCCAAGTAAAGAAGATGACTATGCTTTATTCTTTTTATAGAAGAGCCAGCAGTCAATTCTGAAAGCATGGAAGAAGGAAAGACACTTCTAACTCAGCACTGCAAAAGTAAAACTATACCGATGTGTTTATATGAACACGTAGGGATTATATTCTACAATAAGGGTTAGCATAACCATCTTATAAGGCAAACGGCCGTTCTCTGGGACCAAGCTGGTCACATATTAGCCCCCTTTCCCCTCACTATCAGGCTATGAAGGTCCTGTGCACCAAGCAGATGAACCAAACATTTCTTCTTCCCCTCCTCAAAATTCCTAAACACCAGGCTGATTAGCCCCCTCCTTACCAGGCTTGAAGGCTCCAGGCACCAGCCAGCCAGGTGGTGGCAGTGACCCCATCACAGAACAGGGAAGGTAACAGCACACAGACCACTGTCTAGAAAATCACACAGTTGCAAGTCCTAAGGGGAACCTGCACCAAAACTGCTGCTGGGCAGGCAAGACCCATGAGCCCCACCAGATGCCAGGGACACCTCTACTGTCCTCTGAGGAGGAACTCGTATTCCTTTACATGTTTCAAGTCTAGATTATGACCGGTTTATTATTGATATTGCAAGCCAAATATTAAGATTTGAACTGATCTGCAGAGGGTCCAAATGATTAGGAGCTATAAACTAAGCTGTGCTATAAATTCCATGTACACTGATTCTGATTATGAAAATCCTGTACTACTCTGATCACAAAACGCTACACTAGGCTGATCATAAAATTCTGTTAAGAAAATTAAAGCTTTAATTGTACCTACAGCTTAGGGTCATCATCATCCTGCCCAGTATCCCCATGAGAACCTATCTGTCCCCATGGTGTTGGGTGACAGTGACTAACTAATATGATGTAAGGCCAACAGGCCTGGCCGACCCACTCAAGGAAAGAAGGAAAATGAGCCAGCAGGAACAGATGGTCAGATCAAAGTCTGCTGCAGAAGATGCACCAGTTGGGTAAACAGAAATGAACACCAGTTGGGTGTTCATTTATAGTTCATTCTCAAATCAATACATGCAGGTTGCACAGAGAACACATCCTTCACTGAGAAAAATGGTTATCCATCCTAATAAAAATGTATTAATCTCCCAGGAAACACACACACCTGAAGATACATTTCCTGACTGACTGCAAAAATGTTTGTTTTTTTTCACTAAAATGAATTTCAAAGAAAAAATACAGGTATATTTTCTCTACCTTAACAGCTGACCAAAATCGTCTTTCTTGGAATTTTGAACATAGTGATGATTTGTCTTCCACAGCACTAGACACAGAAACAGATAAAATAAGGTTTTGGGTTTTGTTTGCTTTTAAAAGACAATAAACAGACAATTGATCTTGTAGATACTGATGATGTTCATTCTGGCACTCTTTCAGCAATGACAGCCACAGCCAGAATAAAGGCCTAGGGAAACAGCTGTCAATTTGAATCCATTATAATAAAACTGCTGTGCAATAATTTCCAACAAAATTAGCAACTGGGAACACCCGTGTCTACATTTCATGGATTCAGATCAAAACAGCACTGCTTGGAACCAAACATCCCACAACAGCTGTAGCAAAGCTTCTCTCCTCACTGCACTTTAACCCCACATCTCCCAGATTCCTTGTCATTCCCACCTTTAAAATAGTGATCAGTCATAAGCATCAACAATATAAACCCTATTTTAGGAATGACAGGAGGAATTAGGGGACACAAGCATGTAACACCAGGCGCTTGGATAGAAGTTCCTATGCTAAAAACAGACTGAGGACCTCATATACTGCAAAGCATCTGGCTACAAGAGCAAAAAAGCATAAGACAGTGGAGTTACTCTTGTTAGAGTTCATAAACAGGAACAAGGCCCTATAACCTTTCCCATAATAAAACAGAAGAAGGCATGTTTTTTCCATTAGCTGTTAATGGTTATGATAATCATTAAAATGATTAATATACAATTAATAGTATTAATTGTTAATATTCATCTACATCTGTGGGAATTTAAAAAAGTTTAAGAAGTTCCAGTGTCAGCTTACTTTTTAGGATACAGGGGAATAAAGACATCTTCCTCTATAGATTTCTTCATTCTTAGGACAACCGTGTTTATCAAATCCTATTAAAAACAGAATTATTAATGCACCCTCAGAAGACAGACTTCATCTTCCATTTACAACAACTTCAACAGTTATTTTGTTCATCTAGAAGTGCAATATACTAATTACAGTGAAGTACAGTTATCACATATATAATACACACTGAGACCATGAAATATGTTTAAAGAAGTAGACAAATCACAGCTCCATTTATAGGGTTTGGATTTTTTTCCAAGATCAAGTTACTTCCTTAAGTGAGAAGTCTTTAGGCATGTTGATTTGCCAAGTAGCAGGAAAATTGTACAGATTAATAACAAAGTTATGAACATTGAATTTCAGATTTTTTTTTATGGAGAACTTATGTAAATAAATAATCATCACAGCTAGGATAGCATGTGGTTTTAGACAAGTTTTCTGGTGCAACAGTTTGCCACCTACCTTTAAGTTGATTTTTTTTTTAAATTAATTTAAAGGTCTAGATTACTTTCTGCACAAACAGTATAATAGTATCAAATCAGCAACCTTTGGAAGGCTCCGTTGGAAGGCATAAACATTTCCTTAAAAGTATTTTTCATACTCAGGACCAAAATACCCACCCATTTCACAAGTTCTACACTAGATAAACCTCCAGATTTACATCAGAGTAAAACCAGTTTCAGGCTGAAGAAGGACATGCTAAAGTGACTACATATATTAAAGCAGTTACTAAAAGATTGCTAAGGTTACAAAGCAGTCTTTCTCCTAGCCAATTAACCTCTGGGGATTCAAAATTTAAAAATTCTAGATCAGCTTTAGAAATAAAAGCTTAAGAAGCTGCCCACTGCAGCATTACCGGCATTTAAAGCTCAAATTTTGAGAGATTACTAAATGCAAATCTAAAGTCTAGCCATTGTTATTGCAGTGAAGCACTATCAGATCTACAACCAGATTCTCTCTAGGTACAGGCAGAAGTTTTCTAGGAACAGGAGTTAACTTCCAACTCAGTGTCCCCATCTCCCATCATCTTCAATAACAAGAGCAGAGGAGACAGAAGTTAATATTAAGAAGATTTAACAGGTAAAGTGACAAAATAAACAAGTAATCCCAACTGAACAACTTGAGGACAGTGCTCTAAGTGCCCATAAGTGTATGCACAGACAGCACATACGATGGATGAGGTTCTCCCTTCCCCAGTATCGCAGGAGCTTTTACCTCTTTTGCTTGACTGCATTCATTTTTGGAAAGCACTTGTTTTTCAAACACGTTTTTGCAGAGCTGTACAAGATTCTTTGTCTGGGATGTAGATAAAGGATCCCACACATTCTTTACAAATCCTAAAAAAGAGGAAAAAGAAGGGAATTTATTTAATTCATGATAGGCAAGTGGTTAACCCCTTTAATTTCAAGGCATTGCAACGTAGCAGAACTAAACACACAAGAAGCTCTCACTTAAGAAGAGGCTACCTTAGCCTCATTCTCTGGAACTACATAATCTACATTTTGGACCATTATATACCTAACATTGACAGCTATCACTTATTTACAGTTTCATTACCTAGCTGATTTGACAGCCATCACTTATTTACAGTTTCATTACCTAGCTGCAGTGAGCATTTTCAATATAATCTTACTATACCTGTAATTTTTGGCAGAATAGTTTTTTCAATCACTTTAGGCAAAACTTCTCGATCAGGATCATCATCCCGTTTTGATTCAGATATGTTTTTGGCATCACTGAATTCTTCTATAGCTCTGAACCAGGGCATGTCTTCCAACTCTGTAAAATTCTGCTAAAAGATCAATTCTGTTAGTTTGTTCAGCTGGTCAGGATTGAAAGAAAAAAGTTCCATCCAATGATACCACAGATTCCCACTTAATTTCAGATCCACCCTCGTCACTGAACAGGCCAAAGCAGCAAATCATTAATACTATGTTTAAAGCCAAAATTTAAAAGGTAAGATTGTTGAAGTTTCTTCAAAGAACTCAGGAGAATTCTTTTTACAGGGGGTATTGCAAAAGGAGCTGGAGGTAAAGGAGAAAGTCAAGATTCTGACCACGTGCTTCAATTTCTGAGATCAGCACAGTATCTTTTATTCATTTCTAATGCATTGTGCTATGTACAGATAAAACATCTCATTTTTTATATTAATACATATTTAAATTATTCATGTACAAGTGACTTGACAAGAAGAAATGGACCTTTTCCTTCTAGTTAATGTACTTCTCCTGGGTTCTGGAGTGCCCTCTACAACCCACATAAAAGTTCCCATACAGAAGTCATCTCTAAAAACAGTGTGCCTCTGCTCAGATCTATTTTGGGCTGCACCCACATATCACCAATTAACAACAAAAAATAAGGCAGAAAAGGTATGTTCACAAAGATGGCAGGGTCCAGAAACAGAACAGGCTTTACTGACTACAGCCAGCTCCTTCAGTGCAACACCCAGCAGCACAGGGGTCACCAGTACATTAATACACAAACACACATGCAATTTTTTAAAGAAAACAAAATCAGCTGATGCACCTACCTCAAGAGGATTCCAATTTACTAACTGAGCTCTGATCAACGGATTTAATAGCTTAGGCAGGCAGAAACTAATATAAGCATCACAGTAAGTGTCAGGAAACTTCTCTTTCCATTCCTGGAATTTCAACAGGATTTTGCTGATGTCACAAAAATCTGCATGAACATCTTCAAAGATTTTCCTACTATCCTCTAAAACGTTATCTATGGATAATATTTATTGGGAATAAAAAGAAAATCACAGAACTTATTGAGTCATAAGCTGAAGAGTCTATGCATCTATAGGACATAAATATCTGTATAACTGCATTTGTCATTTATCTTTGACACATCTGACACTGAAACAGGCTTTAAAACCAGCTCCCTGGAGAACCCAGTTTCAGAAAAAAAATACATTCAGAAAACCAAAAAAGGCTCTTCATGATCTATTCTACAGATTTATACGACCACTATGTTTCAACCTTTTTACAACAGTGATAAAATTTCAGACATGAAAACCCTTCTGCTGTTATCTGGAGAAAATGTATTATGCCTTTCCCTGCTCCTCTTCACTCATTCAGTCAAGATAATCAAAACACCAATATTTCATTCACTCTATCTTCAGGAAACAAACTGATTATACAAAACACACTGTAGCATTGTACTGAGTACTCTCAGATCAGCTTTGGCATAATCTAAAAGAGCTTGCTTCTAGTTGAAAGAGTCATGTGTAATGCCAACACAACATAACTCACACCAAAAGAAATCTACACCAATTTGTCCAAGTCATTAGTCAGAACCGTTTGAAGACATTTCTTTTCTACAGCATGTAAATAAGAATATGTAACTCAAATGAAGTGCTTCTTCACCTTTCCTTAAAAAAATTGAAAAATATCAGAAAGATTTTGTTCTAGGATATCGCAGTGAGACTGTCACCAACCTTTGCTCTTCTGGAACTCTGTCACCTCTGTTGGAGTCAGCTCATCATCACTCGACATGCCTTCGTGGTGACCAGCTTCTCCTGAACACTCTCTCGCTTGCCGCCTACAAGTCCTGTGTTTTGTAACAAACTCACATGAGTTATCCTCCCCTTGTATGCAGAACGAAGCTTAATGAAAAACAATCCAACTTCAAAAAAAACCCCATGTACTAAAAGCCAAGTTGTGAGGGCAGCCACCTCAGGAAACGCGATCAGGACCCAACAATGATTGTGTAGCCATCAGGACACAGAAACTGTGGAAGGAGGGGCTTTGTGAATGGACATACACATCTAGGTCTCCCCTATGAACCGTGTAGTAACCTTCACTTCACCTCATTCCCTAATGAGGCCAGTAACTCAGAACACTAAACATCTAGCATGGTACTGGACACTGTCTCGGACAGTTTTCATGTACAGGAAACTCCTGAGCTCTCAGTCCAACATCTCAGTTCTGAATCACTTGTGCAACAACCAACCCACACAAAAACTGTGACAGCACCCAAGTGCCAGCTGGGCTCAAAACACTATTGCCATGACACCAAGAATCATAGCAGGCTGCAAAATCAATAGTTCGCATCTCTGCCACAGGAAAGTGATATATGGTATGAAAATGATACGTATAAATCATTTTATACAGTTATTTATACAAGGTAGCATAAAGGTTAAATGCCTCAAATGGATTTTTTTATTGTATTATTTTTCATCACTAAAATGTCAATGTTCTTGCCACATCAATGTGTGTTTATGAGTTGAAGCACAAACACAACTGAAAAACTTTCAAAGCTCCCAATAACCTCAGAAAAAAAAATTCAGCAGCAGTCTCTGAGCACTCCAACATCCAAAATGAAGTATCTGGCCTACAATGATAGCAGGGGAGGGGCTAGATATTGCTTTGCTTCACTTGCTGACACCACCACCAGCAGCAACAAAACAAACAAAAAAGTCAGGCAGTAATCTATACAATAATACAAATATATCTTTCTGTATAAAGTCATAATTTTATTTATTACAACAGGACAGAAAACACTTCTGTCATATCGTTCAGATAGCATAAAGGTTAAAATGCCTCAAGTGGATTTTTTTATTGTATTATTTTTCATCACTAAAATGCCAATGTTCTTGCCACATCAATGCATGGTTATGAGTTGAAGCACAAACACAACTGAAAAACTTTCAAAGCTCCCAAGAACCTTGGAAAAAAAATTCGGTAGCAGTCTCTGAGCACTCCAACATCCAAAATGTAGTATCTGGCCTACAATGATAGCAGGGGAGGGGCTAGATACTGCTTTGCTTCACTTGCTGACACCACCACCACCAGCAACAAAACAAACAAAAAAGTCAGGCAGTAATCTATACAATAATACAAATATATATTTCTGTATAAATAATTCTGTATAAATTCTTTCTTTATACAGAAATAAATATTTCTGTATAAAAGAAAAAACTTCTGTCATATCGTTTTGTAAATAGCCTAACTTAAAACTTGTTAATTTAAAACAAGAAGATCTATTAGCATCACACTCAAAGCAACATGAAGAGAATGTCATTAACAATTAGATAGTTTCCAAGTACTTTGAGTTTTGGAAAGCAAATACCTATTTTTTTGTATAATTTACCTCAGCAATCCTACAGGTTTCCTTCATGCCTGCACAAGTGACAGAAAGCCAGTGTACAGTATCAGAGCTAAGTGTTCATACACATAATACCTACCTTCGACGTTCACACATTTCCAGAAGCTGTGCCTTCCCATCCCCTTCCAAACCGCCATTAGTTGACTTGTCATTCCCACCTATCAGAAGACAGAAACAGGAAAAAAAAAAAGAGTTGTGATTTTTAAGTTCCTATTTTCTCAACAAGGAAACACCGATTCTCCTTCTATTATTCTTCATTTGGAAAACAGCCAAATAAAAATCAAGCCTCCTAATCAAACTTTAACAGCCTCCAGAAAAACACACAGTAACTACTACTTGTTAACTGGATGTAGTCAGATGTGGTTGTTCCCTCGTACCACTAGATGAACAGGTGAGTTTGATGATGCTCCAGTCAACACTCACCACTTCCCAACCCTGTAAAAGGGAGTTAGTGCCTTCCACAGTAGGTTCTTACCAGCGTGAGAGGCAAGTGTATGGATCTACCTTAATTTGTATGTCAAAAGTGAAACCATCTAATAAATTAGAGTAACTTTTAAGGTTTGGTTTCAACATTATAATGGGAAGTTAAACCCCTGATTTACACTATTCAAAATCATTGCATTTGGATTTCAAGTCTAGTCAGGTGCCCAGAGTCTCCTGTTATCTGACTGGCCTGTGACTGTGACCCCAATCACCCCAGCTCTGACTCTTAAGCCCAATGCAGAAGTAGAAACTAGACGCATTTTCTAGTTTGGCCATTCATTTGTAGCACTATTAGCTGTCTGACACGTGCACAGCATGCCAAAAAAAGCATACTACCACTGAAGTTTGATCATGTAAGAAAAAAACCAGCATTTCCACTGCATTAAATACAACTAGGAATATTAAAAAAAACCAATTAAAAGTGCTGTTAAACATGCAAATATGATCTCATTTGTAATGAGCTGGAAGTAAAATCAATTTAATGGCAACTCTTATTATGGCACTATCCTTTTCTTCCTAACACCTACTTTCAGTCTGCTACACCATGTTAGAAAAATCCTACAGGCTGCTACCTTCCTCTCATCAGCAGCTTATCCTGTGTAGCGAGGAACCCATATGATCAGTAGTTACTACAAACTGGTTCATCTGGCCTCCATCTGCTCCCTGCAGCTCCAAGCATATTGCTCTTAGCTTTGCCGGAGCAGTTTTAAAGGGTTTGGTTTTAGAGGCTGGGTTTGGGTTTTGGTTTTTTTGTTGTTTTTTTTTAAACAGCAGCAGTTAAAGATTCACATGGCATACAACTGGTGTGGAAAGAAAATATGAGATTAAAAAGTTGTAATACTTTTTCCTACAGGGACCAAAAAAAAGCCAAAACTAAAACACACAACATGATTTCATGTCTGATAAAACCTCTTACACAGAAGCTTCTTTCTTCATGCCCTTCCCTTCACATAAGCATCACCTCCTTGTTTGAAATTTCCATTCTAAACGCACACACAGCCTTAAAGACATTCACATAAAAGCAATGTTGCCAAGTAAACACACTGCATTTTCTTATATTCAGAGTCCTCCATCAGCAGACTTTCTCCAACTTAAGACCTACTAGAAAACTGACTCTATTTTTCTTCTCAAGTATTGATGGGGAATTGCTGAGGTCAATAACTAAACATTGAGAAAGTACTTGGTCATGTTGTGTTCACTACTCAACCAAAGAAAAATAGCATCAAGTGCCTTCTGAGGTAAGGATTTCAATTGAGGTATAGTAGAACACATCCACTAATGAAGGGAAGGGGAAAGGAGATCAAAGGCAAAAATTAAAAACTTGATCCAAAATGTAACTGTGTATTTCTGCTCAAAGAGTGAACATTTCAACAGGAAAATACCTTCTAACTTGATACTAACTTGTCAGATGCTGAGCAGTTTTAAAGGGTTTGGTTTTGGAGGCTGGGTTTTGGTTTTTTTGGGGTTTTTTTGTTTTTAAACAGCAGCAGCTAAAGATTCACATGGCATACAATTGGTGTGGAAAGAAAATATGACATTAAAAAGTTGTAATACTTTTTCCTACAGGGACAAAAAAAAGCCAAAACCAAAACACTCAACATGATTTCATGTTTGATAAAACCTCTTACAGAGAAGCTTCTTTCTTCATGCCCTTCCCTTCACATAAGCATCACCTCCTCGTTTGAAATCTCCATTCTAAGCACACACACAGCCTTAAAGACATTCATGTAAAAGCAATGTTGCCAAATAAACACACTGCTTTTTCTTATATTCAGAGTCCTCCATCAGCAAACTTTCTCCAACTTAAGACCTACTAGAAAACTGACTCCATTTTTCTTCTCAAGTATTGATGGGGAATTGCTGAGGTCAATAACTAAACATTGAGAAAGTACTTGGTCATGTTGTGTTCACTACTCAACCAAAGAAAAATAGCATCAAGTGCCTTTCTGAAGTAAGGATTTCAATTGAGGTATAGTAGAACACATCCACTAATGAAGGGAAGGGGAAAGGAGATCAAAGGTGAAAATTAAAAACTTGATCCAAAGTGTAACTGTGTATTTCTGCTCAAAGAGTACGTTTCAACAGGAAAATACCTTCTAACTTCATACTAACTTGTCAGATGCTGAATATAAGCAGATTCATTTTTCAGCTCATCTTGCCTTCGTTTCAATACTTTCATGGCTCGTTGCTGAAGAAGTACGTGTACAGCCAGTTCTAGATCATTAATGTATTTCAGCTGAAATATAGTAAACAGGTTTTCAATTAATTAAAATCCCAAAAGAATGAACAAAAAAGTGTTTCCATGGATTTTCGGTATAGCCATGAAACTAGAACCAAAGCATTACACACAGAAAAGTACATTCCTGGTCACGGGAGTTTTTCAGGCTTTTTTGTAAGACTGAAAAACACAAAATTCCAGTGGCTCATCACAGGACTACCTAAGACTTCATACAAAAGGCTCAATAGGACACTATTGGTGCACTTAGTTTCCCATTGAGCCACTAGCCATTATAGACAATGTATTCATTAACTAAAGTTTGCTCTCTTTTAAGTTACATAAAGAAATTAACAATTGCGATGCAATTAAATGACATAAGTTAGATTTGCTAGCACTACCTACAGAGGATAAAAAGCAGTTTACTTTCACTGAGCTGAAACTTTAGGCTGCTCCTCCCCTTCTCCCAATCTTCACCTTTTTAAATACAGAATGGTTACAGTTCAAGAAAAAAAATGCAGCTGATAACAGAGACAAATTCTCTCAGAACTCTGCTAACTCAGTCCCATCTCCTACCTAACAAGGCTACAGAACCCTGAGTAAAGACATTTTGAGAGATCCCAAAAGAAAATTTAAAGTGCCACCTCTCATTCAACTTCAGTACACTCTGGTCACGAGACCTGCAGAAAACTCCCTCCAATAACACTGTTTTCATCCAACAGAATCTAAGTGCTATCACAGCTCACACCGGTGTACCTATACTAGCTTGATCATCACTTGGGCTGAGGGCTGATTTGTTTTCCCTGCATTTTGTTTCCTGTTAAATTAAACTTTCTGATAGAACTGATTTTTTTAACCAAGTGCTGTCCCTCATCATTTCCAAACAAAAACTCCTCATCTTTCATTGACAGAATGCATCTTTAGCATCTAAAAAAAGGAAGACAAAAATATACATACTTTTTCATTCAAACAGTTGATCAAGTTTTCTACATATGTTTTCATGGCCCTGTAGAATTTGTAATTCTGAGCTGCATCCGAAGACTTCTCTAACTCCTGGACAGTCATCTTTGACTTTTCCATGTCCTCCATGTATTTTTCATACTCCCTCTGGTGAGCACGGTGCACATCCTGCAACGATGTTATCCTAAAAAAAGAGGAACCCAGACAACTAAAGCTATTGCCGAGTTAACAGCTGATTCATTCCAAAACATTTTCCATAATCACATACAAAATCTTTGCCTGCACTAATAATAGTCCTCGCACTCAACCTAAGCAGCACTGAAAGATTTACCCATGCCAGCATTTGCAGAACTATGGGGTGTGGACAAGCATCACATTTTGGAGACTCAAATGTCACTTACATGGTGCTAGTTTTGAAAACACTACTGACATTTTACCCGGATCCCTCAATGCACCACGATTTCCAAAAACATAAAAAGGCAAATTTTTTTTATATCACATTAAATGGATTCTACCCAACGTAACTTGGGGCTCATATTAAACTAGCATGGACATGACGATGTAACTTGCATGGATAACTGTACCTATAAGCATTCACTATGTGCTCACTACTAAATACAAACCAACTGAGGACTCTTGCTGCTACTAGGTGATAAAACCCAGGAACCTATGTCTACAGCTGTCACTAACTAATAAATAGGTAACACAGGAATATTTACATATATTACAACTCTGCTTCCTCTATTTCCTTTTGCCCCTTCCCTCCTTCCATATCCCAAGCAATTGCTCAGCTTGAGCAAGCCTGTAGCAGAACCAAGAAACAGACCACAACTTAGTTCACTTCCTTGAAGCAGGGAACATTTCTCAATGAAAATAACTGAACTAAGCTTTTGTTCTCTATTGTGCTACAAGTTTTTTAAAAAACAAAAAGCTACTTCAGAATTTATCGTGTTAAACACCCCTATCAAGTTTACATCAAGCAGGTTTCTCCTCCCTTCTTGCCATTTTTTAAATAGGTCTCCCACTCGTGATAGACTTAATTCTCATTTTTCTCATTTGATTCTCTACATGAATTCCCACTTCATTTAACTCATTCCATTCAGGTGATTATGGCAAAGAAAGTATACAATTCCACAAAAAAATATTTAGTCCAATTTAGCTGCAATTCTTTAAACAAGCAGGTGAGTGATGGTTTGTACGAAGCAAAGCATATACAGAGAGAACTCCGGGCAAGTTCACAGCCCATATTTATGTCTCAGCTGTATAAAGTTACTTGTCTAAACTTATCTGAACAGCTGCTTCCCAGTGGTCTGAGAGATGTCAGGGGATGCCTGACCCCAGCTGTCCTTCTCACACATGCTGTTGGAGGTTCCCACCTCCACCCCAGGACATTTCAGCTGCCCGTGCAACAGCTGAACTGCTAAAGAAAAGTCATAGCCTGGCACATGACTAAAATATAAAAAAATCAAGGCAGGTTCAAGTCTGCCCAAAACAGGCTGTAGAGAAATACTGCTGCTTTAGGAAACGCTGAGCTATTTTTGCAGCTGGTGTAAGAACCACCATAAGAGGGCCAGGACTACCAGCTCCATCTGCCCCAGTTGAAGTTTTGCTTGCTGGGCAAACATAATGAACCAATGCTCCTGTCAAAAACTACTAGTAAGCATAAGGAGCTGCTGCCATTTAAATGAACTTACTCTCTAAAGTTCTAGTTGATAAAACACTCTTGAAAAGTCCAAATGCTCCCCTACAACAAAGCATTGCCAGGGAAAGTTAAAAATTTGTGGTAGTCTACTGCACTTCATAACATGCATATTACATATAAAACCAAAAAATTCCTCCAGAATTCTCAAAAAGGAATAATACTTCGAAGCTGACATTCTGTGATAAAAACTCAGACACCTCAGAAGTTAAGTTCATAAGAACAGGATTTACCTTTCAGTCAGTCGCTTCTTCACAATTTCCAAGTCCACAGGTGGTAGAGAAACAGAGGGATCAAACTTCGGTTTAGGTGCTGGAGCTTTGTGCAGGGAAGCATCATCGTACGTTTCCTACAAGTATTTTAATTTTTAATACAGCATTTACATGACTTTTCCCTAGTTTCCTACAAGTATTTTAATACAGCATTTACATGACTTTTCCCTCTGCAGCTCTACAGATCAACAAGACGTATCATTCGATTACACAAGGCACACAACAAAAAAAGAGAAAGAATTCTGCTGAACTGTGAAAAGAGCTCTCAGATTGCCACCCAACAGAAATTTAGCATAGTAAAACAATAATTTTTGCTTTGTGACTTTGTGATACTTGTAGTATCTTGCTTTTAAGATGTCCTGCACAGCAGCAAAAAAAAAAATTAAAAAATCAGGGTTCAGAATGTTATTCTCTGCTTTTCACAGTCTTCCATCACACACAGGTAGACAATGCCCTGCTTCTCAACACCCAGACAGAGATTACAGATTTTTGTGATGATCCTTCCCTATTTCTAATTGCCTTTTCTCTGGAGAATTAAGGTGTCACTTCCTAAAAACCTCCCTAGAACAAGAGGGCAAGTAGGAGATATGACAGTACTCCAGAACAAGCTCCCTTATCAAAAAGCAAACTTCCAGTGGTTAGAAAAGCATGTGTTACCTGAGAGAGTTTAACAGCTTTCCTTATTTGCTGCTCTTCCCACTTAATTTCTGCTTCATCTTCACTTGATTCATCACCCACAGACACTAGAAGTGAAAACAATCATTATTAGATGTAATTACATCCTTTATCTATTTTTCCTGCCCATTTTCTCCTCCCACTAAAGCAATAATGGTTCTCCCAACCATTACTGGGAACTGATAGACACAAAAAGCAGCAGATTAAAAAGACCCCTGAGGAGCAAAGCCTCATGCTGCACTGACTCTTTACTGGACCAGTTCCACATTCTTCCAGACACCTGTAAAACAAAAAGTCACAACCACTGGGAGAAATGGCACAAACTCACCCATGTGTTCAGTCATCCTCTGCCTAAGAGTTCTCATTTTAGGAGCAAAAACGAGATTCCTCATATCAGACTCATCTTCACTTTCAAAATCACTGCCTTCTCTTCTCCGAGAGACCTGATGACCATTTGAAACATCCAGTGGCAGATAATCAGCCTGTGTCCTGGCTAAGTGACGTTTCCTCCGAGCAGCATCAATACAAGCCTCACTGGGGATATTACCTGCATTAAAGAGAAAGAAAATCTAAGCAAAAGACTAATCAGCACAAGCGAGGTTATATTTTAATCTCATGAAGGGAACTGTGTCTCATTAAACAGGAATTTTTTGCTGCCTTTCTTCCAAAACCAGCGGTCATAACTTCTGATCCATTTCCAAAATTAACAGAAATACAACTAACATCTGCAACCAAAAACATTGGGGAATTGTCACTATTCCTTCAGAAGGGCAGCCCTCACTCAGCACAAACAAGATGCCTATACCTTATGTGATTTAGGCTGAGTGGGATTCATCTCACCTATGTTGTCATGTACTTCTAGCAAAGAATGTTGTAAAATAACTTCTTTTAAAAAAAAAAAATCTAGGAAACTAACCTGGTGATAAATCCTTCCTCTCCTGTGGAGACCTTGATTCATTTTCAGAGTCTGAGCTGTTGTAGTCCTTACTTACTGAAGAATAACTTTCAAACTCCTTCTCCTCTTCTTCTGCACAAGTGCCTTTGGTGTTGTCAGTTCTAGGCTCCAACTGACAGATTTCTATATTGGGGAAAAAACTAAGATTAGTGATTTGAGTTTCAGCTGCTGGAATCTGATGTGCAATAACTGGTTATTAGTATGTATTTACACCCTGCTGAAGCAAAGACTGGTTGCTTATCTGTCTCCACTTGTCCTCATCAAAAGATGTCAAGTTTTCTGACATTCCAAGACAATCATTTACAAGCCAGTTCTGGTCTCAAATCAAAGTATCTGTGATAGTGCTAAACTAATATGCCCTTCTGAGACACAGAACACATTCACATACACAAAAGCAATTATAGCAGCTCCCAGATGACAACTGATTATTAACCTGATAGCTCACAGCTTTTTTGAATTCATCTCCCTTCACTTTACAAACCGTATTTAGAAAGCGCTTTTTTTTTTAACATTAACAAGGAGGAAGTTCTTGTTTAAACTATAAAAGTTTATATATGCCTGTTTTGTCTCTGATTATCTTTTAATTCTTTAAAAACATTGATTTCTCTTTATCTGTCACTATATCTTCAGATTACTGAACAACAGAAAGTGGCACCTGTTATAAAACTATGAGGTACACTTCCATAAGAAATTACTAAGGAAATTTATACCATCTCATTTGAATCACAATCTCAAGAGGAAATTATTGTTCAATCTAATTTATTTTTATTTAACAGCAGCAATTGGGGTACCTCTGTGAATTGTCAGAAGTGTGAAAAGGGAACTAGAGGGGAAGAGAACTTTTAGACACATCTGCTTGTAAAACACACAAACCAAACATCCAAACAGGAAACTTACTGTAGTTCAATGAGACCAGGAATACTACCAGAACAATCAAGGCTATTGATAATTCTGGGTTCAATTAACAAGTAAAAGACATCTAACAGCAGTATTTGTATATCACTCTTCACTTGCCAGATTTTGTAATATATTTCCGTACAAGTATTCCATCAAATATTTAACTGAGAAAAGTACATACTTTTGCTTTCTTCAGTTTCTGTCTGTGTAGGTGGCAGGCTTTCCTTCTTTTGAATTCTAAAGGTTACTTCATTGAAGGATGGCTTTTTAATTTTAAAAAATTCTTCACCTATCCAGATAAAACAAAATTATTAAAGTAACATAATAAAGACAGCAGTATATGTGCATAGTATATTTTTCAAAGTTCAAGCTGCATTAAGTCTAACTAGTTCTATGGCTTTATCACTCAAGATTTGCCACCTCTTAACTTAAATCTCTGCAGCTCAACCTCCTCAATACAGCAACATGGTACTGTTGAAATGCATTGTTTGCTTACAGTCTGTGTCCACTACAGAGTGAATTCTGTAAGCTGCCCTGACCTGCTTTGTGTCACCAAGCACAAAAACACAGAAGAGTCAATTAAACATTTATGTTTCAGTCATTTAAGCTAGATCATCATTAACTAAGCTAGTCACAGAATCACATAATACATTCTTGTTTTCTCTGATTTTCTCCAGCTCTAAGCTTTTAAAATGCTTCCCACCCCTGAGCACAAGGACATGTGTGACCTTCAAAGTGTTTTTATATGCATTTCTCTTAGAAATCCTCGCAGTAGCTCTATCCATAATATAGTATTCCGATTTTTGAACATAAAAAGGCATAAAGGTGACCTGCTGTGCCCTGAGGCACCAGCTCAGGGCTCAGTCAGGCAGGACCTCTCCCCCCACCCTGTATGCAGGGTGAAGAGGCCCAGCCATAGAATCACAGAATGGTTATAGTTGGGAGAGACCTTAAAGATCATCGAGTTCCAACCCCCTGCCACGGGCAGGGACACCTCCCACCAGACCAGGTTGCTCAAGGCCCCATCCAGCCTGGCCCTGAACACCTCCAGGGATGGGGCATCCACAGCTTCTCTGGGCAACCTGTTCCAGTGGCTCACCACCATCATACTGAAAAAATTCTTCCTGATACATAATCTAAATTTCCCCCCTTTCAGTTTAAAATTGTTACCCCTTGTCCTATCACTACACTCCCTCATAAAGGGTCCCTCCTCATCTTTCCCCTTTAGGTACTAGAAGGGGCTATAAGGTCTCCCTGGAGATTTCTCTTCTCCAGGCTGAACAACCCCAATCATCTCAGCCTGCCTTCACAAGGGAGGTGTTCCAGCTTCTGATCTTTTTTGTGGCCTCCTCTGGAGCTGTTCCAACAGGTCCATGTCCTGCTTATGGTGGAGTCTCCAGAGCTGGAGGCAGTACTCCCGGTGGGGTCTCACCAGGACCCTGCACTTGGCCTTGTCGTACTTCCCCAGGTCTGCACGGAGAAGCCTCTTCATCCCGCCTCCAGCCCCGCTGCTCCTCCCGAGCTCCCGGCGCCCGCCCCCCAGCCCGGCGGGCTGTGAGGGCTCCGCCGGCCCTTCCCGGGGGAGGCCGCCCCCGAACCCTTACCTTCCCGCTCCTCCTCACCACCGAAGCTCAGCAAGGCCTTTCCCCCCGGCACCGGCCCGCTTCGGCGCGGCCCTCGGCCCGCAGCCGCCTTTCCACTCTCCACCCGGTCCTCGGGGCTACCCGCCGGCTCCTCTGGGGACAGCGGCCCCTCCACCGCCGCGGAGGCCCTAGCCCCTTCCGGCGAGGCGGCGGCGCTGCCGGGGTCCCCCTCACCCTCCCCAGGCTCCGCTTCCTGCTCGGGAGCCGGGACTGGCGGTGGGGCGGAGGGGACGACCGGCTGCGGCTCCTCATCGCTGCTGCTGCTGCTGGAGGCCACCCGCCGCCGACCGCGGAAGTTACGCGGGGGACGCCGGAACATGGCGGAGCGGCCGCGGAGCCCCCCGCGCACGCCGCCTCCTCCAAGCGCGCATGCGCGACCCCTCCCAACGCTCCACCTCCGCCCTGCACAAGCCCCGCCCCGCAGCGCGCACCAGCCACTCATCGCCCCCTCCCGCCGGGGGGTGGGCGGGGCATGGGGAGAGCTGTCCAATGAGGGCGAGGGGGCGTGTCCGTGAGTGACCGTTGAGGAGGCGGCTGCTGTGAGGGGCGGCGGCCTGTGGCGGGGCTGAGGGGAGCGGGGGCGGTGGTCCCTGGGCGGGAAAGAGTCGGTGGCGTTTTGCCGGCAATTAATTGATCCTTGGTGTGTAAAAAATGACATTTGTCTGAAGGGGCGCAGGCTCTGGTGGGTGCTTCCCTTGCTTGTTGCTAGGTCGTGAAAAACGTACCCGGTTTTGTTGTTACAGCTATAATTTATCATAATTTATAAAGAGTTTTAAATAAATTCGAAATAATGTCAATTAAGAATAACTATATAATTAATAATTCCTTCACAAATGTTTATACATTATGTAAATTAATATACGAACATAATTACCGAGGCATAATCATTCATCAATCACTGTTTCAGAATTCTTAATATAAACTAATAATAAATATACTTTATAATAATACCTTATAAATACTAAGCTTATTCTGTAGCTTGTTGTCAAACATTTTAATTCCTTTCCTCTAGGTTTAGCTGACTGAAGGAGTGAGGCAGGTGCCAGCACTGGTGCGAGGGGGGAACACCATAATGTCTATAATTATTACACATTATGTCAAGTGATATATTGACATAATTACTAATGCATAATTATTCATTAAATAAATCGCTACTTCAGAATTATTAATACTATAAACTACTAATAAGTAAATATACTTTGTAATAATGCGTTATTATAAATACAAAGCTTATTCCTTAACTCGTCAAAAGCTAATGGCACATTTTCATTCCTTTCTCTAGATCTGGCTCACTGAAGGAGTCGGGCAGGTGCCAGCACTGGCGGGAGGGGAGAGGAACATATGGCTGGGAACAGAAGGAAGGTGGGATTGTGGCAAGCGATGACTTAAACCAGGTTGTGGTGAAGCGTTGTGCTGTAGCTTGCACCAGTCTTTCACTTCTGCAGCGCTGACTTGAGCTGTGTGTGCTGGGCTGTCTGGAAAGTACATACACCCAGCTTCAAATGAAACCACGGTGGCTACGCAGAGCAAGTCTTTCAAGTAAGGCCTTTGTGTCTCAAGAGGCATATCCCAAAATAGTGGATGTTTGAAACGTTCGTGCTTAAATTGCTCCACCTCTTTGGCATCCATGAGATGAAGATACTAATATTAACTTGCCTGAGGAATTTTGTGATGAAAAAGCTGCATTTGTGAAGCACCCAATTCAGTAACGACAACATAAAAACCCAAGAGAAAAAAATAACTCAAATATATTTCTATTCAGCACTGGTTCTTAATGGTACATATTATATAAAGCCCAAAGCTATACAATGAATAATGAGGATTATAAAAACTTTAAAGTAACAGTTCAAAAAGCACCATTCAGCTTGCAAGCATCATTCATCTTCTGCACTGAAAAAAGTTCGGGGTCTCATGAAAAAATAAAGTAGTTGTGCAAGCACCAGAACTAAACTTTTCTATGGATTTGTGCCTCAAATTGACTTATTGTGAGCTCTGATTCAAAGCTGCATTATCACTGTGGAATTGGTGTGTGCTTTTCCCTGTGTGATTTCTGTGACTGAAGGATGAAGTCAAGGATAATGTGGGGATGCGCAGGTAGACTGAGCTTCTCCACCTGGACAACGCAGAGTTTGCTGATCCAGACTGACCTGGAATAATGCCAATGAAGTTACTTGTTTCTTTTTTACCACTCCAGGACTGATAAAGACTTCATGATGCTAAACAAAAATCTTGTGAGTTTTACCAGGAACCTGTTGTTATTCTGTTGTCCTTATAACAGTGACAAAGCTCCTTCCGGCGCTGTGGCTCTGTATTAAAGAGTTTCTTCTCCTTCATCTGATTTTAAATCCTCTCGATCTAGTGAGCTCTACTTAGGACTGAGCTGGCTCCTTGTAAAGCAAAATGGTCCAGGACTCCAGCGTGGCAGAAACATGGGACACAGCTATTGGACACTTGGTGTTTCTAGCAGGTTGGAACTGCCATGTTTGCAGCTGTCACTCCAGTTAATATGCTCATTAAGTGGCAAGATAGGAATCTAGGCAGTGGCATCCAATCAAGAAAAAGCAAATTAAACTGCAGCAATGCAGCATATTATCTCTTTGGAAGGACTGTCAGTGCCAAGTGCCAATGGATTTATTTTATTCGGCAGTAAAAGCCCTTTTCTTGACACTGCTGACTTAGTACAAAAGATAATTTGCCTTAAACGACTTAGAGTTGAACGTTAAAGGTAACAGACAGGTGAGAATTATTGGGCAGAAATACTAGAATCATTATTAGACAACTGATACTGTTTTAGTTGCTGCAGTCTAACCATTGTAAGATTCTTCAGGCAAATGAATTTGAAGAAAGGCTCTGAGGAGATCAGTGAAGTAGTTGAGCAGATTGTTATAGATTTGCCTTACCAAAGCAAGAAGCAGCATGAAATCAAGACAAACCTTGCATGAAAACACAAGTGAAGCATTAGTGGCTGATAGTATGGTCTCCTTTCACACTCCATTGATTTCAGCTTGGCTTGAACTCTGTTAAACTTTAAGGTAAGTGTAAGTTACAAAGTGACTTGCTCTTAAAACTTAGTGCTCTTCAAAAAACAACTTTAAAGTACAGAAAAACCCTAAAAGGTGAGCTCAGTTTTGGCAAAAGACTGCAAAACTAAATCCGACCCTCTGACTGAAACAGCTTTAAGCCAGTGATTGGAGGTACAGCACAATGTCACTTGCAGCAGCAAGTTTGTCATTGCTTCTGTTGTTTTCGTGTCATGGAAAAGTCCGGGTGAACGTCAGGCAGAGGGGGGCAGCAGCGCCTCAAACTGTCAGCGTTACATCTGGCAAGCCAGAGTCACTGTCAGGAGAAACTTCTGTGTTTCATCAACACAGAGCTTTTGTGTAGATTTCCAGACTTAAAACCAGAGTGATCTGTTTGCCCTGTCAATGAATCCCTGATCCTCTTAATTACGTTGTTAATCATACATTTACTCATACTCTCTTACACTGTTTTGCCTGTCTTTATCATGGTACTTATTTCCTCTATAGCATGCCCGGATCTTTCCAGAAATCTCTGAATCTGGAAAATTTTCACAGCAACCCACAAAATGTTCTGAAAGATCGGAGAAGATTTATTTCAAAGTTTATTCTTGTATCATTCAGCCTTTAAAAGCAATGTGTAATTCCAGAGAATCTCAGAAAATCCAGCTAAGAGGTACACTGTGAGGTACACTATTTAAGAGTAGTACTGGCTCGTGGATTCTAGTCTCCCCAGTTGTTGGCACCTGAACATACAATCCCCCAAGGCCCCTCTATTTGCTCCTCCCCAAATCATCCCAAACCCTTCCTTTCCCCACCTATGCTTCCTCCCCTAGACATTCCATAATAAATCCTGGGCAATCCTAAAATGCTCTTCCCCTGCATCCCACTATGTGCAGCACACCCCCAAGGCAGTAACCCCTGGAGAGCTGCTCCCAAGACTCACCAAGGTGATGAGTTTAATGCCTGCACCCTGGGGCTGAAGGCTCTGCTGGGACAGCCCTGGGAACTCCTCAGGAGTCTGTAACTTGGATTGTCACCTTCCATTGTGTCTGTGTTCCTCTGGGCTTGTGGAGATGGGTCTTTGATGAGCTGATGGCCTCTGTGACAGCTGGGCTGGCTATTATTTAGTCTTCCCCATCATTGTCCCCCTCTGGACACAAACATAAGCTTTTAGCACAGAACCTAACAATATGTACCCAATGACATGTTTCTAGCACCTAAAACTGAAAACTTTGGGAAAAAATGCATTTCTAGCAAATGCAGTCGGGATACCAGCCTATTGGGATTAGACTGGCTTCTTGGCTGGCAGCAAAGGATGAGTGTGGAGCATCTGAAATGAACTTGCAGCTCTGGTTTACCAAGGTATTATTTACTAATTACAGCATAAGGATTGCAAATTGCAACAAATAACCTCGCTTAATGCCACTGACGTGTAATTGCCAACGCTTGAAACTTGTGAAATTCACGGGTGTTTGAATGTTTCTGAATGCCTGCGCTGCAGCTACGGTTTGCAATTAAAACTGTGTCTGCTCAGCAGTTGGCAAACCTTTATTTGCCATAATTCAGCCTGCATGAGTCAGCGCCGCCTTCCTTCACAACGCATTCTGGCCTGTCTGGAAATCTGCTTTTTCTATGGTTACATAGATGTTCTATAAATCTCAAAATAATTTCAGTGTGGTTGGCCAAAGGAGCCATTGTCACTCTTTGAACAAATCCAGTCCAGCTCTCTATACGCTACCAAATAATATCTGTGCTTGGCAGGGAACAAAGTTGGGACATGAATATTTTATTTTATAGAGCTATTAAGTAGCAGAAAACCCTGCAAATTAATACAGTAGCAGGTACCATTTGTTGTTTTAAAAACTGTGTGGGTTTCTGGTTGAGAATACAAACCAGCATCTCTAGAAGTACTGGATTTGATGCAGTATGTGCTTTGTGCTTTCTATATCTTTTTGACAGATTATTAGGCAGAATCAACATCAGAAATGCACCACCCCCGTTACGTATGGAAAGTAAATCTTGTCCTTTTGTTTATCCTGTTGTGTTTTGTGCCTCCAGGTTTAAATAAAGACCTAGGCTAAAGAGGGAAGCCTCAAAGGGAAGAAAACGGTTGAATACTGATGTAAAAATGAAACCTGGCAGCAGCATTAAGTGAGGGCTCGTTGCTTCTTTATTACCTGAGAGGAAAAACAGGAGGTGCAAAAGGAAATTTAGTATGAATAATAGAGTAGAAACCAATAAAGGGGTCAGAGCTTCCATGCATTGAGTAGGTGTGGCTGTTTCAAAGTAGTTCTTTATAGCTGGGACAACAAGCTGGACTCTCCAGATGAG